GTTGCTCTCCAGAGCCCTTTTTCATCATCAGAAATGCATGCAAAGCATTTTCCATGTATTCAAATTGACCCGGTACACCAGCGCAGTCAGTTCCAGGTTTTGCGCGAAGGAAAAAATGGTAGAATGTGCTGTATTATGCTCATGATGGGATCCATAGTGAAAACAACCAGAAAAGATAGCTAATCTTAACACATACTGCTCTCTCTGCTTCTGCTCTCTCAATTTCTCTCAAAATGTCTGAAATAGTTAATTTTTTTACTGTTTTTCAGTGCATTCTGGGCATTTAGGAAGGTCTCCTGATGTTATCTTTTAAAAACACTTCTAAACGCAAACGCTCATAAACACTGTATGCAAACGCGGCTAAACTGACATTTTTTAACCTATGTTTTCCAGCAGTCAGTTTCCATCGTTCAGAAGAGTTTTCCAAATGCCCCGTGTACATGAGCCCTAATACAAGTTTATCATTTATTATTTATTTCCTTGATTTGTTACATTCTTTTTAACAATGCCCGGTAGCACCTAAATTGGACTGATTTGCTTTTGAAATCAACAATAAGCCAAATTTGAATCAGGTGTCAGTAATATTCCAACTTAACAGCTGAAAGCAAACATTTTTGTACTATAGAAAGATCATAGCTTTGTGATTAAGAGTGTTACTGCATAGTTTCCAATAGGCACTACAAGGCAGAAGACACAGGCATTGGGCACTCGCAAAAGTGTTTAATGCCAGAGTCTTACGGGCGCTGCAATGATGGGATGGAGGGAAGGTAGGAGGCATAGGAGAGGTGAATATATTTCTTCTTTTGCAGGGAACAATTTTTGCCAAATGTTTAACATGCCAATAGACAAATCAGGCAAAAAATCCACCTAGCAATCCTGTTAGTATAGGACTCGTGTACACTAGAGCAGTAGTTCTCAGCAAATGGACTATGGCCTCCCTCCTCCTGGGCCTGCAGTCAGCTGCAGAACCCCCAACCTTCCATATTGCCTCCCAGCTACCATAGTGCCCTACTGAACTTCCCATAGTGGCCTCTTCAACTGTCCACAGTGCCCCCATACCCTCTGAGAGTCCTCAGCCACCACCATTCCCCGCCAACCTCCACAGTGTCTCCCCACATCCCACAGTGCTATCCAGGCTCCTGCTGTAGAGCATTCAGCCCCTGTAATGCCCTGCACCTCCAACAGTGTCACATAGTGCCCTCCATTCTCTAGCAATGCCTCAGCAAAGCCCCCAGCCTCCTGGGGACACCTCCTAACCCCCTCCAGAAACCCCCCACAGAGACATGCAGCCTCATCCAGAGCCTTCAAGAATTTCAATATGTGTTTTGCATTCACATATATTTGTGGGAGTATATATGTTATATTTATTTATTTACTGTTGGGGCATTGAAGGTTTTGGAAGACATTCAAAAGGTTGAGAACCACTGTACTGGAGTTTGTGCTTTGCTGCTGACATACAGTCAGGTCCATAAATATTGGGACATCGACATAATTCTAACATCTTTGGCTCTATACACCACCACAATGGATTTGAAATGAAACTAACAAGATGTGCTTTAACTGCAGACTGTCAGCTTTAATTTGAGGGTATTTACATCCAAATCAGGTGAACGGTGTAGGAATTACAACAGTTTGCATATGTGCCTCCCACTTGTTAAGGGACCAAAAGTAATGGGACAATTGGCTTCTCAGCTGTTCCATGGCCAGGTGTGTGTTATTCCCTCATTATCCCAATTACAATGAGCAGATAAAAGGTCCAGAGTTCATTTCAAGTGTGCTATTTGCATTTGGAATCTGTTGCTGTCAACTCTCAAGATGAGATCCAAAGAGCTGTCACTATCAGTGTAGCAAGCTATCATTAGGCTGAAAAAAACAAAACAAACCCATCAGAGAGATAGCAAAAACATTAGGTGTGGCCAAAACAACTGTTTGGAACATTCTTAAAAAGAAGGAACGCACCGGGGAGCTCAGCAACACCAAAAGACCAGGAAGACCACGGAAAACAACTGTGGTGGATGACCGAAGAATTCTTTCCCTGGTGAAGAAAACACCCTTCACAACAGTTGGCCAGATCAAGAACACTCTCCAGGAGGTAGGTGTATGTGTGTCAAAGTCAACAATCAAGAGAAGACTTCACCAGAGTGAATACAGAGGGTTCAGGCACATATGCAAACTGTTGTAATTCCTACACCGTTCACCTGATTTGGATGTAAATACCCTCAAATTAAAGCTGACAGTCTGCAGTTAAAGCACATTTCAAATCCATTGTGGTGGTGTATAGAGCCAAAAATGTTAGAATTGTGTCGATGTCCCAATATTTATGGACCTGACTGTATATATTGTAAAGAATTTTCAAAGGATCTGGAACTCAAATGTTTAAAAGTTTCACTGGATCAAATAGAGAAACATTCACTTGGGTATACTGTCACATGTATCTCACTGCATTCTTGAAGATTTGACTTGCCCCGTTTTACTGTGTTTTAACTGCTTTTATTCTTTTTGAATGAGTCAAAGGGAATGCACTGTGAATTCAAGGTAAGCCCGTAGTAAACCCCCCAAAGTGTGATGCTCAAGTACACAAGTCCTCAGAATTCCATTGCTTTTTCTAGTGGAAAAAGGCATTATTCAATTTAAAGGCAATAGAAACAAACTAACAGATGCCTGGAAAAGCAAAAGAGATTATATGGAGACCTGCACTTTAGCCAAAGCAGATGGTATTCACAGAAGAGAACGTAGTGTCATGGGGTTAGAATTCCAGAAGATAACCGTTTGAATCCTCTCAACACATGGTATGAGATGAAGCCCTCACCTCACCATATGGCCAGTTATGTCCTGGTGGTAGGGTAGTGGAAGGAGAATGGATACTGGGCAGGGTCTATGGATGAGAACATCTACAGTGCTGGGATGAAATCTCTATTCATGCAGAGAAGATTGGGGGGCTCTGGGGTTGGGTGGAAACAGAGGTGCTGCTTTGGATACATAAAAGACCAAACACCAATATCTATGTAGTCTGCCCTGACTCCTCTGCAAATTGTTCACATATCTCTAAGGTTGAGTGTTGAATGTAATCAAAAGATGCAAACAATTTATAAAAGGTTTCTAAATAGTTACATGCATAACCTCACTGACTCCATATCACCTCTCCTTATTAAAAGTTATAGAGTCCACCAAAATTGATCATTTAGGTTTGTACGGATGCTACTGGATTCAGCCAAAATACTAGGGTGGGGCAGAGCCAGGATTCTCAAAGGGAAATTATCCATGGAGTTTTAGCCCTGTCCTTTTTAATTTTTCAGTTCAGTAAGATGATTCTTCTGTAGCATTTAGTAAATACAGAGGATATTTGCAAGTAAAAGGGTGAGAGTTCCTAGCCTTCTCCTGTGACTTAAGAGTCATGCATCTCTCCACACTTGACACTAGAGATCTGAGTAAGAATGCCCTTGGTATGAACATAACTTTATAGCTTCATGAGGATTACCAAATTCTATTGGCTTCTGAGGAAGTGGCAGTGCACGCCAAAGAAAAACATGCAACCAATTCATTTTTTCTTGGCAAAAGGCTACCAGCACCAAGAACTAGTTAGACATCACTATCTGCACTCCACTATATCCTGCAATGTGCTCTGCAACTAAGCCTGCATTTTATGAGCCATTATTATCCTGTATAATACGAATTCATAAAATGCAGGCCATGGTATAAAGTCTGCAGTGTCCCTCAGATATATGTCTGCATAACACAGCAGAAAGAACTTTGTGACTGGAGGAGAGGTTGGGGCTCTCCTCAGCTATGTTTTTCCAACTCATTCAAGAGAAAAGCATCCCTTCTAAGTTAGACCTATAGCTCTCCAAGCAACAAAGTTTTTACTCCTCCGCTGATTGAAGAGCTCTAAGTCAGGCTCAGTAGTGGTTTACCGGACTTCTGTAGAGAGACCACTGCTTACACACAGAAAGCAAGGGTTTTCTGTGATGGTAGGAGATAGGCTACTAAGGCTTTGGCCACTTTCTGAAGAACACAAACTGTAAGACTTTGCACCCCTTTTGTTTTATTGGCACATGGAATTAATTGAGCCAATTTAAACTGAAGATTACTTTTTGACTAAAACACACAAATCTCCCAAGAGATAATCATTCCAATCCAACCTGTAAAGTAAGCCTTAATTACTTAAAAGAGAAGTATAGATTTCTAAAAATAAATAAATAAAACTATACTCACCTAGGTGGATGCAGCATTGATCCAATGCTGCATTTGTCCCACGTCGCTTCTCAACTTTCAGTGAGCAGAGAGCAGGTGACTGTCAGTCACTGGCTCTCTGGTCTGCCACTCCGGCACTCACTAGAGCACCAGGCTGTGGAGGGACAGAAGCGGATGGCTCTGGCTCACAGCGGCTTGCTGAGAGGCTGAGCCAGCTGCTGGTCCAGGCATCTGGGTGGATAGTGAGTTTAAAGTTGGAATTTCTCCAGTCTGGACCAACTGAGCGACGTCAGCCGATAGCAAGCTTTAGTCCACTGTTCTCTGAAAACAGGTCACAGGAGTACAGAACGAAGTGCTCTCCTCAGCTCCATAGCAGAAGTAGGGCCAAAATAGCTTTGGCCTACTTCTCCTTTAACCCTCAACACATAACCCCTATGTGAGCCCTTAGTACTTAATTTTCCTTTAACGCTTCACCCCTACAACCTGAATGCTTTAGCCAAACACTAAGTTAGCTTGTGAACTAAAACCTTTATTTACTTGAAGGTCCACCCAAAGAGTTCACCAATTTGTTTTATTTTTATACTTTAGTATTTTGCTGAGCACCTGCTTGCTTATTCATTCCACTCAGCTCAAAAAATTATTGTGGAGGAAACTCCCAGCATAGCCTCTAAAACCAATATATGATTGAACCCATAAGCATCTACCAAAAAACAGTTTATTGGTTTATACTTTCTATTCAGCTTTTTCCCTTTCTGTAACTGCTTTCAGACCATGTCAGGGCCGACAGCAAGCTGAAACGGCATACTTACAAGAGGAAACAGAGAAATTTCACTTGCTCAGAAGTCCTGAGGCAAACAAAGGAGAGAAGAGACAGCAAAGGAAAGGTGAAAAGATACAGAGATCGGAGAATGGGGCAGAGAAATCATTTAAATTGGCTCGAGTCAAAAAATATACCATATATTATTAATGAAATGGCTGCTCACAGTTACGGGATGAGAAGGTATATATGAAGGTAGGGGTAATATATAATGAATTACCAAGCATTTAATGCTAATATCTGTACCAGTCATTTTCTGGTAGACATAAAGGTGTAAAGGCAAACAGTGGAAATGGCAAGCTTAGTTTCTCCCCATGTATAAAGTGCAAGAGTAAGTGCAATGTTTAAGGCCATCCTAATAGGAGTACACTTGTATTTCTAAAGCAAATACACTATATGGGCAAATATTCATGGATACCTGACCATAACACCTACTATATGGCCAAAAGGACGTGAACACCCCTGCAAATTATTGAGTTCAGGTGTTTCCTGTGATAGCTATTCTTCATTTTACAGTATACAAAAGACATTTTAGACAATTGTGTGCTTCCAACTGTAGTGGTTCACAACAGGTGGGCATGACTGTGCCCCTGTACAAAGCCAGCTCCATAAAGACATGGTTTGAGGCATATGGTGCAGAAGAATTTGAGTTGCCTGCACAGAGCCCTGACCTCAACCCTACTGAAAATTTCTGTAATCTCTGCATTGGAACATATGATTGTCAGCCAGGTCCAGACCTCACAAATGCTATTTTGGCTGAACAGGCACAAAATCCCACAGACACACTCAAAAATGTTGGGGAAATCCATTCCAGAAGAGTGGAGGTTGTTATGGCCACAAAGGCTTTATAGGTGTGATGGTCAGGTGCTTACAAACATTTGGCTATAGAGTGTACGTAAGCGCAAAACAGCGAGCTGCCCCCCAAGTTTGAAAGATTTTATTGCATTTTAGAAGATGAGTGTTAGGCTTCATTTCCCATACCAATAAAGCCCCACCCTCTTTTTATAAAGCTCCACCTTTCATGGATGCATGTTACCATGGCAGCTGAAAGGAGTTTAGGTTGTGGAAGAACAACGTGTTTCTTATACTGATGGTCATGGTGTGAAATGCTGAATGACAGTATAGTAAATCAGATAGATTTCCTGCTCTTTGATACAGTGATGAAAGAAACTGTATAGCAGCGATATAGGATTAACGCAAGCGTTAACCCAGTCGGAATTTTTTTATAGTTATACATTGAATTGGGAAAGGTCAGGTTAGTAAACCCTTGGAAAAGGTTCAACTGTAAGTGCTTTATACATATTTATCATACAAAATAAATATTGATTTCTAAATAAATTAATATTTTCCCCTAACCCTTCATTACAGTATAATGCTTACTGAATTTCCATTGCAATATAAGGTCTGCCTACTCCTGTTTGCATGTTACCATGGTAACCTCAGGAGGTTAGGTCCTGGAATTGTCAGGAGCGACAGCCACATTTTGGAAGGCAGCTGGGATGAAATTTGAAAGTCTAACACCCGGAAACTTGAAATTTATTCCTTGCAGTGGGGGCTGCTACCTCACTGCATGGGCTGATTGCTTGTTTAGTCTAGGGCACGGGTGTCAAACTGGCGGCCCTCCAGCTGTTGCCAAACTACAAGTCCCATGAGGCATTGCAAGATTGACAGTCACAAGCATGGCTCCCAAAGGCAGAGGCATGATGGGACTTGTAGTTTCTCAACAGCTGGAGGGCCGCCAGTTTGACACCTCTGATCTAGGGGAAAGTAAATGTCCTTTTATTTACCCGATTCTCCACTCTCCCATCAGGCAGCTCTCCCCCACATTCCAGCAGTGGACTGTTCCTCGGTGTCATCACACCCACTGCAGGATTATGAATTTTGCATTCATCCTGAAGACATCAAGACCTTAGACTGCTAGAGCATGAGGGAGAAGATGCTGCGGGGAGCAGTCTAGCAGCGCAGAAGAGCAGAGTATCGAGTAAGTATATCTATGCCAACAAGTCTAGTCCTAGATCTAAACAAACAACTAACTAACATTGCAGACCAGGCACAATCCCACCGCAAGAAATAATTTTCAAGCTTCCCAGAGTTGGGCTTTTATATGCAGGAAATACACTGAAGAAAGAAATGTGAGATTGGTCATCTAATGAAATCGGCCATCAGATTTCTAGTTTCCTTTGTCCTCCAGATTTCAGTCTTTAGCATTTTCTCTTTTTCAGCACTTAAGAGTGGAACTGAACTAAAAGAATTGAACAATTGGTGTGTTACAGAGAACATTTAGAAATGTTAACTGTGCCTCAGTAGTATCCAAAAAAATCTCCTTTTTTGTCAGGAATCCCTCCTGAAAATCAGCAGGGAGCCTAGGCACTCCTGTGTCTACAGCCTCATAGCTATATGTCTACATTGTGACATCAAAGGCACTGCTTCCTGCGATTGCTAGTCTCAGAAGATTTGGAATGAGATTTGGTGCTGCTCACTGTTCTCCTTGCTGGAGGCTCTGACCTGAGGAAGCAAAGCCCTGCCTCTACCAAGATGGCTGCCTCCACTCAGAGACATATTGCAGGGCAAGGCATGGTAAATCAGTAATGGAGAAAAGATCAGCTGCAGGGAGACCACAGGCAATACTGGTAACAAGTTCTTTGCCTGCCTGCTTTGTGCATAGTCACCAGAGTTCAGTTAAAGATATCAATGCTACAGACACAAATGTCTCCCACAATCTTACCTCTATTTATCTGTCCTGCCAACATGCATATGTAAGTGGGGCATGCCTTATGTTGGACAGAAAGATAGGTGGGCAGGACTCCAACATCACACATGGAGATTTAAGAGCTGTGTTATACAAGTAATGCACAGCACGGTAAAGGCTTCTAGTAATTCGTTATGACTGAATTTTAGGAAAGATAAATGAAACAATAGGAAATATTTAAAGCACTGGGAGCCATAGAGAGAAGTTATGGGAACTGTCGTGGGTACAAGGAGAAGATGCATGGAAGACTAAAACAGCTGGTTTAAAAACACACAAAAAGAAGCTATAGAAGTCAATAAATAATACAGACAAATACAAAATTGGCATTAAAGAGACCCTGTCACCAGCTTAAATAAAACTGGTTGCTTGCAGATTTTTACTTTTTATAGATTATTTATTAATTTAGTTGCAATGTGGCTTTGAAGTTGCTAGAACATTTGAATACTCCTGGAGAGTCAATTTCCTAGCACATCCCCTATCCCTTGCATGTCAAAGCCTTCTTTTGTTCTATAAAGCCAGCCATAGATGGATAAAAACGTATCAGGTTCAGCAGGAACCAGCCAAATTTCAATCCATGGGCAGGCTGATTGTACTAAAGTCAATCTATCAACTTCAGCACAGCCAGCCTGTCAGATTTGTTTTGGTGCAATCACTGCCAGCGGCTATACCTGCCAGCAGTGGTCATTTTTTACTGCCAGTGGGGAAAGCCCTTCAACTGGCAGAATACAATAGCTCCGTGGGAGGGTGTTGATGATGACAGTCAGTGTTGATGGAGGAATTGAGAAATTTTCTTTCCTTAAACCCGTAGTTGAAGTAAAGAAAACTGTATAATGCATGGCCTGCCTAAGTATCTAATATTCGCTGTCCTAACTCAGCTCCTCCACCCCTACCATCACCTCCCTAGCACTGAATCTGTGGGTCTGCTGCCATCTCATCCAAGGTGGCTCCATCCAGCAGCAGTCTCAGGGCTTTTGGATGTCTACACAAGAGAGGCATTTAGTAAAGTAAAAGTAAATAATGTATAAAATGCAAACGCATAATCGCGCGGAGATTTTTGTTAAAATGAATGGTCTGGCGACAGGGTTTCTTTAGGAGAATTTAACATATACTGTATACAGAGGATCCTGAAACTTATAAAATGAGAGTGGATCAACATTCACAGCTGGTTTTGAAAAGCTAATAAGCTATATATTAGTTGGCTGCATTATGGTGCTTAGACATGATTGTATCAGGACATTTGGTTAGTACTATAGGCATTACTCATAATGACTGGGTAACAGATTGAACATCGTGCTGTGTCCACAATCTGTATATTAGCCTATTATGTTGGTGAACTCTAAGGACAAAAAAATTTTAATAAAGAAGGTGGAAACACAAGTATTATTTAGCAGCTTGCCATACTAGACTGTAGACTCTCCCAGATCAGATATTTGTGTCATACTGAGGTGTATTCCTGCAGTCTGACTTCATCAGAATGCAACATTCAGGAAAAGCAATTATGTTAAATTATTTTCCGTAAACAGCTACCATGCAGCATCTTGGATCACTAACACATTATATTTTTTTTAAACAAAAATTTGTAATGAGGAATACAATTTTCAAGAGAAACTTACGTTATTAGACGGGATCTACCCAACTTTGGCGAAGATCTTGGACTACCTGATCCTCTCCTTGGTCTAGTTTCCTGGACAAGATCAGTTTCTGAACCTGAGAGGGTCTTACATAGCTTAGGATGATCGAGGGGGCCATCACTTAGATCTTTGTTGAATCCACAAGGTGCTTTTGTAACGGTAGGAGATGAAGACAAGGCTGACTGTCCTCCAAAAGGGTTGAAGTTGGGGTCTTCCCACTGGCTGGAATCAAAGTTATAGGATGATTTGGGGAGGGGAAGGTCATCTAAATCTGCATTCATCTCCAGGTTCTTCTCCTGCTGCCCAGCTTTGTTTGTCCTGTTGGAACTTTCCTTTTGTATCCTGGATGGAAGTTTACTCACAGGTTTTCGGACTCTCCTTGGGGAATCTTTCTTGATATTGTCATTTGTTTCCATTAGAGAGTCCTGATTGTTAATATCTCTTTCAGAAGTATCCACTGATGTTGCATTATCTGTCTGAAGGCCATTGTTATTGAGGAAATCTTTACCAACATCCTTCAAACTTTCTTTATCTATTAACTTCTGCTGAGGTCCCGTGTCATTGCCTTGGTCGTCTCGTGCTGAAAAAGCATTATCTACAGACAAATCTTCTGGAGGCTGGACCACAGTATTTTCAGCGGGGGACTCTTTAACATCTCCAACTGAAATCCTGGTAATAGAATCCACAGCGCTTACCTCAGAAACATCTAGACTATTGTCTAGAGCCAAGTCACTGGTTGTCTTCCTACCAAGGTTTGTTTCCAAAGTACCATCAGTTAATAGATTGTTATTATCATTTAACGTTAAGTCTGATAAGAGTTCTGTGACAACTTTATCACTTTCTGAAAAAAAAAGAAGAAATGATCAAATACTTAAATTTGTCTCATAACATGTAATAAAGCTGTAGCAAGCGTCTGGCCTGGTTTAGCATGCTCTATACAAAGTGTTCTGTGGTATGGCAGTGATTGGTGGCCATGCTGAAAGGTGGATGTTGTCTTAGAAAATAAGGTTTATTAGAACAAACCTTTCCACAAGCTAAAGAAAAGGGGGATCACTATATACTGTAAACGGTCAACAGTTGTAAGGTTCGGGTTCCACTGATTAAGGTTTAAACGGGGGAGTCTCTCCAATCAGGGACACCAGCTAAACATATATTATTTGTAATGTTCCAATTCAGACTTTTTCTATCATCATTTAGTACCACCTTTCAAAATCTACAGATCCTCACCACAAACACCAAAGTCAATTCTATGGGGAATGCATGGGTGCAGGTTTACAGCTCTCACACAATGTTTTCTTTTATGTTTTGCATAAAATAAGTGTTTCCTTTGTCACCAAGTGCTTGATTTTCCAAACTTTGGAATTAGGACACATGCATATAATATCCATTTCCATTGAGACAGTCCAGTGGAGGGTGGGTAGGGCTTACCTACCAATGTCCAAAAATCAAATCTTTAGTAACAATATGAATCCAGGGTCTGAGAGATGCACACAGGAGTGTTTTTTGGCAATAAGGGAAACAGAATGGTAGCTCATAGTACATATTCTTAGAAAGAGATTTTAATTATTAAAATGTAAAATAAACATCAGATTTACTGGAAGGCATGTCTTACTAGTTGCCATGGGCAAAACTAACGTGCCTCAGTACTAGTTCCCACTCTTGTTCCCATACTGCATAGCAGATAACAGCTTAAATTGACAGTGTCTGTATATTAAAAGCTGCAAATAGCTGGAGGGAAACAAGAGTATGTAATTGTGTTACAAATACTTGACTTTTATGTTAGGCCAAAAAAAGAGCAATTGTTTCAAGTAAAACCTTAATTATTGCAATTAAAACAAAGCTGTCATGTAATACCTTCAATCCTGAATGCTCTCCCAGGTAAAACCATATAAGCCCAGTATATCATACAAGCCAGGCATAGTCACGGTAATAGCAGAGTCATTTTGTCATAAGACTAGCATACATTTTATAACTTTCTTCCTTTACATGAACATTATTAACTCATGAAAGTACCAATTAAATGATACAGTACAGACTTTGTTATAATTTTTTTTTTTAGTTGGGGCCCATTCAATCCACGCTCGTCCACTCAGGTGCGGGTTGTATCACATGTTAACATGCATTTTGTTACTTTCAATGAATTGAAATGAAATGAATTGCATAATTTTCAGCAGCAGAACAAATGGCACCCTAGCTCAACAATGTTACAAACACATTAGTGTAACTTGGCCCCTAATGATTAGCAGCAGGGATCACCTCTCACATGTTTGGCAGTTTTATAGTTTTTGTTCACACCAATCAGTTAATATGTGTTAATATGCACATGTGTGGTGTGATTGTGCACTGCTTGCAATGTACTGTTATAATGTATTGCAGAGCTTGCTTTCTTTCTGTCTTTTTACAGTGCAGCGCATTAGAAAGTGGAACATAGTTAGTGTGGCTGAAAAAAGACAAAAGTCCATCCAGTTCAACCATAAAAAAAAAAAAATTATTATATATATATATATATATATATATATATATATATATATATATATATATATATATATATAAAATCCTGTACCGACAGTTGATCCAGAGGAAGGCAAAAAAAGCCCAGAAAAGCATGATCCAACATGTCTGATCACCAACACCTTAGTTTGAACTGAAGGACAAATGACAGATTGTCTGGTTCTTGTGTTGGGATTCCATTCCAATTGGCAAGAATGAGGCCTTAAAGCTGAATTCTGAGAATGACAACAATCTGTCCTTGTGGTGGGGCTCCCTGCAATGATTAAATGCTCATTTAATCAAGGGGGGCAGGGATAAGGTTACATAGTCTAGTTAAAAAAAGATACAAGTCCATCCAGTTGTACCCACAGAGAAACCCCCCCCCCCCCCCCCCCCCCCCCCCCACACACACACACACAAATTCAAAACCTCCATAAACACAATCCTATACCCACAGTTTATCCAGAGGAAGGAAAAAAAAACCCCAATAAAGCATGATCTGATTTGTTCCAGTGGGAGAACAAAATTCCTTCCCGATTACCCAAGAGGCATATAGGATATTCCCTAGACCAACTGTGTGTATTCCTTGCTCAGACAGGATTCTCCAATCAATATGACCGGTCCCCTGCAGTGTCCTCTCTAAGCACCTTTGGGCCGCAGTTGCATGGTCACTTCCACCCATAAAACACAAGGTTAATAGCACTGAACTGTGCGTGATGAGACAGAAGGACCACCCATGGCCTACCCACAGATCGGGCCTTGAGGACAGCAGTGGAGCCTGCCAGACCAAAGGACAGAGAAAGTAATATACTTTCTACCTGCACCAGTAGACTTCATAAGATTTTAACCTTGCAGTGCCAGGGCCCCACTGCAAGGGCAGATTTTTTTTTCTCGTTCTCAGAGTTCAGATTCAATAGTAAGGAGACTTACAAACAAACCCATCATACAAAGCAGCCTGAAAAAACTTCTATCTGTACACCTGAAAGCTAATGCTTATATCACCAGTTTCCTACATTAAATACTCTTCTTTTTATTGCTATCATAAAGTGCTATAAAAAATATAACCTTTAAAAAATTATACATTGGGTCCTTTAATTGGTGGTTGTGGAGGAATATGAAATGTTGCATGTTACTGATCTGTATCTGATGTTAGTGCACTGTATTTCAAATAAACTATTTTGTTGCAGCAGATATAGTTTATTAGGTGCAGAGTAGAAGGTTTAGAAATGGCAGTTTTTGTCTCTCTCTATTGTAATATCCAATTTATCTTCCTATATGTTTAAAGGCTAACTCCACTTTTTTACACCATGTTACATACTTACATATTCCGAGTATAACATGTAACAGGATTGTAAGCTGACCCCCCAACCGCTCTTACCCTGATAGCAGTCAGAGTTTTATTCTCTCCTGGGGCAGCTGTCGCTTTTAAATATTGTGCAGCTCTGCAGGGTTCTGCCTGATCAGCCACCTGATTCATTCACAGAGATCTGTGAATGAATTAACTAAAAGTGGTGGCAGAATACTTGTAGTTCTCAATGGAACACAAGTGTAGTGATCAGCGCATTTGTCGTCCACTTCGTAGACACCTTCTCCAGCTCACTAACTGAAAGCCAATATGTTTGTACAGACTGAGAGCTGGAGAAAGTCTGCAAGGGCCTGGCACTGTACCAGTGATCCACTGATCATGGTTGCAACGCTTTGCAGGCTCATTTACAAAAAAAAAATTATTATTATTAATAATAAAAATAAATGCACTATTTTTGATTACAAATAGGGGTACATTTCATACAAGATATTTTTGCAAGATGAACTAAGCCTTTAGGACTATAGACCATGATACCTCCATGTGCAGAGTGCACATAATAGCTGGCTTGGGATATGAGGGAGGTAAACTACCCATTTTGCTTACAAATGGCGAAAACTTTGAAACAATCATAAGATATATTGCAATGTTGTAAATCTTGCATACAAGTTATGTCTACACTGTAAATATAATACTTACTGTTAGAGAAATATGTACTGATACTTACTTTTTATACTACTTGAGCATTTTAGGAATGCCACCCATTGTAAATCATTAAAAAAATATCACTGACATACACGCTTAAATTAACAACAGAACTGAAAACACACTCCAATTATAAAGAATTATCTTGACAGTCTTGTGTCATCATCCTCTTGGTACACGACTGCTCACTATTATTGTGCTACATGAGAAACTTTCTTTCTAAACCATCATTTTATGTAGATATCTGATCTCCAAACTGTGGCCCATGGGCCAGAAGCAACCCTTTTCTTGCTTTTATCTTGTCTTTGGGGCACTGACTGATACATGGCACTATTCCTCCCACTGACACAAACAATGAGGCACCATTCTTTCCACTTACACCAATAGTTGGGCATAATTCCTCCCATAGACACCAACAATAGGGCACTATTCCTCCTACACAAGCCTACGATGGAGCACAAGTCCTCCCACTCATAACAACGATGCAGCATGATTCTTCCCACTTAAATCAATAATGGAGATACTATTCCTCCCCCTGATACCAATGACAGGGCACTATTCCTCCCAAAGATACCAATGATGGGGCACTATTTCTTCCACTGATACCACCGATGGGGCACTATTCCTCCCCCTGATATCAATGATGGGGCACTATTCCTCCCAAAGATACCAATGATGGGGCACCATTCCTTCCACTGATACCAATGATGGGGCACTATTCCTCCCACTGATACCAATGATGGAGCACTATTCCTCCCACTGATACCAATGATGGGGCACTATTCCTCCCACTGATACCAATGAAGGGGCACTATTCCTCCCACTGATACCAATGATGGGGCACTATTCCTCCCACTGATACCAATGATGGGGCACTATTCCTCCTACTAATTTTGTTTACTCCCACTGGCCACAGTCCGGCCCCCATTCAGTCTGAAGGACAGTAAACTGGCCCTTTTTAAAAAATGTTTGGAGGTCCCTGGTGTAGATTATGTGAATTTTGTTGCAGTTTGAGATTTTTTTTACATTTGGGCACCAGTCGCATTTGACTTTTCAAATGCTTCAACTTGAACAATAATTTCACCATTCCATAATTCAATTTTCCATGAGACAAATACTTAGGGTACAGTCAATAGTTCTTTCATGGCCATTATGGTTTATGTTACAATTTACAGTAACTCACATATAGCTTAACTAAAATAATGCTTTCAAAATGTACAAGTGCAGCAGCTCCTGTGTGCTGAGGTGAAAAATCTCCGATGCTTTACACGTTTGTATGACATTTCTCCCTTAATGTGTCACTTTCACATTTGGGGAGAAGCACCAAACGTGTCTGCATGGGT